TCAATAAAAATAGAGAGACAAAAACGCGCAGTTTTGGTGCATAAACTCGCCTCTTTCTCTCTGGCCTGCTCATCTTTCAGCTGTTGGTGGTACTGCTTCACCAGCTGCTTCTCTCTCTTGGCCTCCATCTTCTTTTCCCATGATGTACGCAGAGGTTTGTCTCTCAACAGAGCGGAGAACCTACGAAACAAAGCCAGCGCTGAACACGTCACATAGATACCAGACAGAAGAAACACAAATGTACTAGTATTAGTAAACAGACAAATAGTGCAGACAAGACTACAAAAATAAGACACAAAACAAAACGGGTTAGAAAACAGAGAAAAAGTTGATGTATCCAAGTATTATTATGGATTGATAAACATGCAAGAACGTGAATGCAAACACAGACACAAAAACTAAAAAATTAAACAAGCCAAGTGCTATCAGGACAGTAATAAGAAACTTTATAGTGTTAATCACCTTTGCTTATTTCTGTCTTTCCATACTCTTCCAGATTTAGGTTTCCCAAGAGGTACCATCTTACTTTTCTTCTCACTGGATTCTGAGTGAGTCCTTTTTTTGGCCCTTTTCTTAGGGTCAGTGGGACCAGTGGATTCAGTCTCTGTATTATTTACCACATTTTCCTTCTCACTGGTCTGATCTGACCCTATCAAACCTGCAGTGTCCGGCACTGACTCTTGACTGACAGCTGCTGATGTAGACACATCTGGACACACTGGTTCTGTCTCTGGACTGCACTGATCGCCTTGAGTGTCTGCTGTACACTCATCGGGTGGGGATTCCTGCCGAGACTCGGTGCTTTCTGCCGGATCTTCTCGCACAACAGACTTTCTGGTCCGGAGGACGGGGGTTTTGGCCGCGGGTGTCCGCAGTCTGCGACCGCTCCGTGTGCGGCTCACAATAGGAGAGTCCTCTTCGTTATCGAGAGCTTCTGCCTTTGAAACAGCATCTCCGCCGTTTGTTTTTTTGTTTACAGACGCAGACATCATCAGCGTTGTGTCGATCAATACAATACAAAAATATTTCAACTGTAATAAAATCTACACATGTGCGGAAACACACGTGCATTCCTCCTGTGCTTCTTCTTCTTCTTCTTCTTCTGTGGGTTTAATGGCGAGTTGCATACCAGCTTTTAGGT